TGTTCACTTTTTAATTAAAAAAAATTTTTTTAACCACAGGCTCCAGTAAGCCAAGCTTTCCTTATTATCATTTTTTTTTTTTAACACAACAGAAACCCTCCAGAGGGCATGCAGGAAGCAGCGGATGGAGGCAGAACCACAGGTGGGTAAAGAAAGAGAGGCTGGCAGCATGGGAGAGAAGCCCATGTCAAGGAGAGAAATGGAGAGAGAGGGAGAGGGAGAGGGAGAGGCAGACAGAGACAGAAACAGACAGAGAGACAGACAGAGAGAGACAGAGAGAGAGAGAGAGAGAGAGAGAGAGAGAGAGAGAGAAGCAGAGAGAAGCAATAGACAATGAACCCAGACAGGAAAGGAGAGAAAAGCTGTTTAAACAAGGCCAATCAGAGTGGACAGATGGGCCGGGAGGGGAATTGCATTTAAAGGGGAAGACAACCACCAGTTCAGTTTGGAGTGCGGCTGCTGCCTCAGGTCAGCCCCACTCCCTTTCCCACATAATTTGAGCAAAATTCTTTTTCTTTTTTGGTACTGGGGATTGAACCCAGGGCCTACATGCAAAGCCCCATCCCCCGCTCCCCACTTTTTATTTTGAGACAGGGTCTTGCTAAGCTGCCCAGGCGGGGGGGGGGGGCTCTAACTTGCCACCGTCCTGCCTCAGCCTCTCAGAGTGCTTGGGATTATAGGCATGCATTACCATGCCCAGTTAAAATTAATCTGTTTTGCCCCTGGAAAGCAGAGGAGCATCCTGGGAGAAATGCCAAGCTGTTCCCTCCTGGTGTGACTGCTCTGCTCCAGCTGTGGCCACTGCTTCTTCCTGGAAGAGGGGAGGGAGGCCCAGTGGCAGATCAGGGAGGGCCACAGCACCTCTTCTGCAGGTCACCTAGGGTGCGGGTCATATGATGACCTCTGGGTCACAGACAGCCCAGGGTTCTGCTCCTGAGCCTTCTCGGCCACCATCACCAAGAGCTCTATCAGCAAGTGACACACTCAGTTCTCTCCAGACACTTGTGACTCTAGGGACAGGTGGAGGATAGGCGGGTGACCCTTCCTCTAAGAGGGCAAACTGTACGTTCCCAGGCAAGGCTAGCACATGTTTGTGCTCACGGGTTGCAGGGAGGCCAGCAAAGGTTTTGAGTGATACTGGATGGAGGGACCTGTCCCATGAGGTCCCCTGATCAGCCCACCTCCCATTTTTTTTCTTTTCAGTACTAGGGATTGAACCCAGGGTCTCACACTCAACTACACCCCTGGCCCATATCTGTTTCATTATTTTGAGGCAGGGTCTTTCTAAGTTGCTGGCTGGGGTCTAACTTGACAATCCTCCTGCCTCATTCTCCCAAGTAGCTTCAACTACAGGCGAGCACCACCATGTCCAGTCCCGCTCAGCATTTTGTTCTTTCATCTCACACTGTGTGGCCTTGAGCAGTTCTATTCCCTCTCTGTGCTTCATTGTTCTTCTCCCTGTGTCTGTGAGCTGTGAGGGCTCAAGTTCCCTCCATCACTGAGGCACAGAGGGGGTGCCTGTACCCCCATCTTTCAGTGTGGCAGGCCCCGATACAGGGAGCCAAGAGAGCTGGAAGCATGCCACACACATCCGGAGAGGCCCAGGTGGAAAGCAGGAGTGAGACCAGCATTCTCTTCCTCCCAAATCCTTGACTTCTTGCTTAAAGCTCCTGAAATGTGTTTTCTTTCCATTTGCTACCTCTCCACAGAGGGTCTTGAGGTCAAACTGCTGGGGTACTGGGGATCAAATGCAGGACCTTGCACTTGCCAAGCAGCTGTGGCACTGCTGAGCTACATCCCTGGCCCAGGAGTCTGCTTTTGACCTACCTCTGAAGAGCTGTGTGATGTTGAGCCAGTCACTTGCCCTCTCTGAACTGTAGTTCTTCCTTCCGTAACCAACAGAACCCAGAAAGCCCTTTGGAGCTCATTTTAGAATTTTTTTTTTGGGGGGGGTCACCACATCACTGGCCTGATCAAGGCTGGGATGGGATTTTCTCTCACCTAGAGTATCTGGATTGAAGCCTTTACCCGAGTTAAACCCTCTCAGGCACCTTTAGATCTCTCTTCGGGGAGCTGAGGGCAACAAGAAGGGGCTGAGCAGGCTGTCCCTGTCCCTGTCCCCACCATGCTCAGCCATGTTATACTAAGCTGATCAAGGAGTCACAGCAAGATCCAGAAAGCTCCCCGAGTTACCCAGAGCAAGTGGCCTAACCATGGTCCCCTGCAGTTCCCAGCTTCTTGCCCAGGTTCTTTATAGCAAGACTCCAAAGCATGCATTTGGTTAACTTAAAAGTTGGGGCAGTTCCAGTGGCTGCCTGGCCGATCTGGCAGGAGTTTTTGGTGTGGGTGCCATTTCTGTTTAAAAGTCATCTTCCCTTTTAAATTCTGATTGGAAAGGAAAAAAAGTAAGTGTAGAGATATGGATATGATTAATGTTCACTTGAAATTCAAAACCCATCTCTGCAATAGGAAGAAAGTTTCCCACAGTAACACACAAAAGCAAAATTCTAGAACGACACAAAGGTAGAAAAAAACCCCAGAGAGATAGTTTCTGTACATTACAAAAGGAAAAAAAAAAATAAGGGAAAAGAAATACAAACAAAAACAAAATAACAGGAAAAAAATGACACAAACTTCCCCACCCTCTTCCCTTGCCGGCTAAACAAGAAATGGAATCACAATATTACCACGTTTCAAATGGGAGGCTAAAAAACAAACAAAAACATAGACGGGGTTAAAAATGTTGAGCTTTTCTTTTTTTTTCTTCTTCTGTTTGTTTCTCTCTTTTTTCTTTTTTTAAAAGGTAGTGTCCAAGAATACCACCCCCAGTATTTTTTCCCAAAGACATTATTTTTGTGAAGTCAATGATACCCGGGTCTCCCATGTCACCTCTTTGGCCTAATATAACTTCTCTGAATGTCTTTCAGGCAGAGAGAGGGTGCGGAGCGCAAGTTAGAAACCTAGATGTTCAAGGTCACAGACCTCCTAGCCCC